TCCTGCCTCTACTGCTAAGGACATTGTCTTCACAGATCTGTAGTTAGCTTTATACCTGCAAGGCTGCAGTACACTGGTAGGAAAAAGAGGAATAACACTATGCCATCCACAAACATCTCACTATCAGGCTACTCCAACTTTAATATCTTCACTACAGAGCTTTATCCCAGATGAAAGATGTGCATACACAGAACCCAAAAATTAGTATAGCATGAATCATCAAGGCACGAGATGAACTGTCAACATTCTAGCAGGAGAAAAAAACCAAATTACTTTCCTGTCAGTAGCTTTGTTCTCTTATACACCCTGCCTATACAGCATTCCCCAACATTTTATATCCTATGATCCTTGCATAAGGGAAAAATACCATTCTTTACTAGGGAGCCCATCTGAGCACAGAGAATCTTCAAGGAACTTGTAACCTTCAAACAAGAATCAAGCTGCACTAGGTATTTCTAGTACGCTTCCACTCATTTGGAGGAGAAGGGAAGAAACAGGATCAAGTCAGTTACTGACCAAGAGCCAGTAAAGGTTTTCTTGATGTAGGTACACCTCGATTCTCTCAACACCAAATAGCTCTTGCTGTGTTCAGTCCAATCATTAACTGTCTGAAAACTGTTCTCCTCCTTTCCACAAGCACACAACCTGAACAACATTCCAGCTGTTCAGGGCATTGCCAGGGCATTGCCTTGACACACGGAGGTCTTCCCTTGATCTCCGCTACTTTCAGCATGAGCTGAACAGAATGGACAACATTAGTTCCTCTGTGCTCCAGTGATTGAAAGGAATAAAAATTAAAAAATAGGGCTGCCACTTGTTTCTAAACACAAAGAGAACAAATCAGAAAAACAAAGGCACTGGTTTTATCACCTGAGAGCGTACAGACTCTATAGTTCTAGGTCTAGTTCAGTAGCCAGCCAATACATGATCCCCTTACTAGACCTAACTCAGAAATCTTATCATTAACCTCTTTCTTAGCTTCTCTGATTTTATTTCAGTCCCTCACCCCTCTTCCTCTCTCCCTCCCACACACCACAGGCTCCCAAGACCTTATAGAGGTTAATGTAGCTATGATATTGCCAGATGGAAGAAAAGGACTGCTGATGGATGCCAGGACTTCTCTAGCAGATTTGCACAGGGTGCCTTCATCAGCATTTCCCCCTTGACTGCAGATTCTCATCACTGCTCTCCTCACCCCCACAAAAAAACAGATAATAAAATTTCTCATTAAGGAGTCATCTGGACATAGCCTACAGGCACCTTCTTCATTCATAATACAATAAGGTAGGAAGTAGGTTTAAAAGATATCAGCTCATACCTGTCTCCCAGAAGACAAATCAGAAATATATTAAAGACAACTATTTGTATGCCAAAGAGCATGCAAGCATTCACTCACAAGAACACATGCAGACACATCTAATATTCAATTATGTTTCTAAGAAATCTGAAATAAACTAAGGCAGTGCACTGAACTTCCAGAGATTGGTATTTACCAGTTGAACTGTGTTCACATTTTTTTATTTACAGGGTGTACATACAAGAGATAGCACATTACGCCATGGTAAAGATAACTAAATCCAAGGACTATGACCCACAGTATATTGATATTAAAAAGTTTTTGTGGAAGTGACAAGCTTAATTTGTTATGACAAATTCTTTATAGCTGAAATATACAACTCATTTAATGCAAAAAGTGAAGAAACCTTTCCTGTATTCCTTATCTCATCAGCTAAGGCTTTTCACCAGCTTGTAAACAAGTCCCCTTTCTAAGACAAAAACAAACTGGAAAGAATGACAACAACTGCAAAGGCTGACGATCAAAGCCACAAACAGACTACAAACGAAACCAGCTTACAACTGCTATCCGTTCTACACTCATGCAATACGAGCTCTTAATTTACTGTTACATATAACCGTTGATGGCAAAAGTGAAACATAAGAGTCAAGATACTCATCTACACACTATACCTAAGCACTGGTTGGTGAAGAAGCAAGGCAAAAAAAGCAAAAGGCCAATTTCTTTAAATAAATAAATTTTTTTTTCTATCAATTTCACACAGCTTCAGTACAGGTAGTTCAAGTACTAGAGATGAATTTTAAACTCATTCAGAAAATCTAGCACAGAGAATAGTGTGAAAAGAACCTTAAGTTCAACTCCTCCTACAACTACATAAAATACCTCAGGACACAAAAGCTACTAGAATCAAACTGCTTTAGGAATGTAGGTTCTGATATTCGCTAGAAATCGTCCACGGCAAATCCTGCTTTGAAACACTACTTACTAACCTTGTGCCAAAGTCACTGCAGAAAACGTTTCAAGTTGTGCAGGCTGGCTCCGACACCAACGCCCCAGTAAGTACTCAGATTAAAGCAACCAAGTTACATTCCCTTTCCCCCTCGTACGTTTTAACTATTTGGCAAAAAGTATCTGTGCTCTCATCTGCTTGACACCGAAGGGCTCATCCCAATGTCAAGAAGGAAGCAGAGCCACAGCCATCAGCCCCCAGCCCATCACGAACGCTACATACCGCGGGACGATTCCGGGCAGCACGGTTCCGAGGGAAGCCGCCCCGGCTGCAGCAGCGGCGGCAGCACCTGCCGGGCCGGCACACGCCGCGGGCGGCCCCTTCACCTTGCACCACACGCCGCGGGTTCGCGGCCGCCCCGGCGCGGCGCAGGGCGGGGCGGNGGCTGTGCGGGTTCCCGAGCCGCCCGGGGCCACCCCGCACGGAGTCCCGCCGCAGTGGGTTATTTTTGGCAGCTCCCCCCGCCCCCCGCTCTGCGGCGTCACAGCCGCTCCCCCCGGTGCTCCGCCGTGCGGAGCGGGGAGGTCACGCCTTTCCCGGCGCGGTGGCGGCCAGCGCGGGGCCCCTGCGGCCGCGGCCCCCGCCCGCACCGGGCCGGCACCGGGCCGCGCTCCCGCGGCCGCTCGGAGCGCCCCCGCCCCGCCGCGCACGCCCAGCCCCGCACGGCGGCACCGGGGGGAAGGAGAAGCAGCGGACAGACGGAGCGATCGGAGATCACGCTCATGCACCATTTCTAGCGCAAGTGGAAGACGGCTGAAGCTGGTTTAGTGCTGCGTTAGCAGTTTCATCTGCAGACTGCGCGCTTATGCTACAATTGCCAAAGCACAGTGATAAGCAACGCTAAATAAAGTTTCCTCTAGAGAGCCAAAAGTGCGTTCGCTGTGGTTATCCTTACTGAAGTGAGGAGCCTCTCCTCATAAGTCAAGCAGTAGCTTCTGGCATGCTGACAATTTAAATTAGAGGGAAAAAGAATTCTCCTTAAAGAGGCAAGATAGAAAAGCACCAGGCTTGAGAAAACGTTAATTCTAGAGATAACCAGATTTCATGGGACATGCACAATACGGTTGCAAGGTTTATATATACATATTGCTTTTCAAATGCCAACAAAACAACAGTCTAGAAAATCAACCCTGAACAGCAAAAAAACAGGGCCCTGACTTAAAGGACAGCAAAGTGAAATGCTGTGGGTTTAACAACAGCAATGATCAATGAATGTAGCTTCTTGGAAAGCTGCAAATCTTTGAAGGAAGAGAGTATGGCATTTTAAAAAGCCTGCACTATATTCCTGAACTCAAAACAGGGCCCTGACTTATAAAGGACAGCAAAGTGAAATGCTGTGGGTTTAACAACAGCAATGATCAATGAATGTAGCTTCTTGGAAAGCTGCAAATCTTTGAAGGAAGAGAGTATGGCATTTTAAAAAGCCTGCACTATATTCAAACTCAGTAGTTTGAAGTTTAAAAATACCAAGACAAAAAACTCTCCAGGATCACATCTTCTCCCTGTCATGACCAATTGATTTCACCAGCTATGGTAGAAAAACAAGTTCACACCTCAGCCTATCCCTCTGTGCCCAAATGTATGTGCTTCCAGATTAAAATAAGGCCTCTATTACACCTACGGAGACTCTTCAAGTTCAAGTAAGGTGACATTACAATTTCACCATATGTTTTGCCATACTCCACTCTGGAAAGCTATTTTAGTCTGGCTTGAAGCAAGATGCCAACACAATTAAGGAATACTAACTAACACTATACACCCACTGTTGTAACAATTTCCCCCTCATCCGCAAATGAAGCTGGCAACTTTAATATCAGACTTTCTTAAGGAAAAAACTCAATGTAAAAAAAAAAAAGAAATGCTTGTTCCACTCTGCTAGAACTTAAGTAAGTCTAAAAGACTCGTGACTGGAAACAAAGGACTTGGAAAGGAATGAAAAAAACCCAAACCTAGACAATGGAGCCAGTGTTTGTAGCTCACTGTTAAATAACTGGAAGACTAGCAACACCAACACAAACCTCATTCTGAAACACATGATGACAGTAGAGTAAGAGCCTAACCCATGGATTATAGTTACCACAGTATAGGAAGACAAGTTTGTTCCATGGTACTAGGGCATCATCAAGAAGGAAGAAAAATACCAGCTCTCCTACTCTAGGAACTAGTGAATTTGACATATATTCCCAAATTTAAGTGTTTGCATTATGTTTAACACTATACAAGATATTTGTTACTGGGAAAGCCAGAAGTTCAACAAATAGCATTTACACACCCACTAAGCACATGGGCTGAAAAACAAATTCAGAAGCAATATTGCTCAACACTGCAGTTAGCTAGTAAAAACTAAAAAAAAAATCCAAAACCTAATTTTCTCAATATTTTGACCTTCAAATCAGCAAAGCAACAGCTTTATTGAATTCAAGCATTCAGTTTGAACATTGCAAGCAGTACCTTGTAACCAAAATGTCTCTTTTCTGAACACCCAAACACTAAGTCCTCCTTTTGCAAAGGCATATACCTAGTCTTTCTCTAGAAGAATGAATTTTTGTCCCACTCAGTATGCAAATGGACAGCTTACCAGCAACATGAAGTGGTATGGGTTTGTGTATTTATTTCTGTAACAGGTCAAGAGGGAACTAGACAAATATGCCAAGCTGTTCAGCCCTTTATAGACCCAAGCAGCACAATACATACCCCTTCTTGCTTTGTGAACAGGTTAAGGCACTCAGCCAGAGCCTCACATGTTTCCTGGGATACTTCAGAGACCACATCAACTTTCTGCAGGAGGGGAGAAGATATTCCTGCAAGCACAAAAATATTAGTAATGTTAGAAGGACATCGTAAATGACAGGATTCTTTTAATTATTTTTTCCTCTAAGTAATACAGACATAACATTCACATGCTACAGGAAGGCTGGGGCATTGCAAGATCTGTGGGAGGCTTTTTTTTGCATCCTTTCCCTAGTACTGGTATAAGAGGCACATGAATAGATCGAATTTCTCTTTCAGCATGGCTTAGAAAGCAGAGGCAGTAAGCCATGGCAGCAGGGCACTGGAAAAGGGACCAGCAACAATCTCCTTTTAACCACTTTCTAGATTTTAAAGCTTCGAGTGACAGAATTTAAACAAAAAGGATTCTGCAGTGGTTTAATATAAATAGAAGTGTAAAATGTAGATATTTTTTGCCTTCTGCCATGTATTACATAGAAGAGAAAGAGCTTACCACAGTGCTCAGTGTAGCTGAAAATTTAGGTTTCAAAAAAATAGATTGAACTGTAACTACGAGCACACTGAACAATTAAAGGGGAAAACCTTATTTTCATGGACTCATCTTGTGTTATAAGTAGTACAGCTTGTCATGTCACATCCTGACTTCTATGACCATTTACAGAAGGGACTGCATGTCTAAAATCAGCAGGAAATCATTGTAACTCAATCAGCTGGTAGAAATGATTGGAGTCAATTTGTGAAGTTTTCTGATATGTGCAGCAATTCCTTGGAAATCAAGTAAGTCATCTTCTCAGGAAGCATAGTTATTGCAATTAAAATAATTGCAACATTTAGTGCCTGCAGACTCCAGGATCAGTTGACACCATTTAGTAACACAGGTGCTTTGAGCTGATGTCACACCACTGAAGATTAAGAGGTCCATCAGTGACAGTACCTAAATTTATTTTTCAACTTATACCACTTATGCAGGACAAGATACAGTACATTTCCACACACTAATTGTGGTCTCTGAAACCAGAGCTCACCACTGACTCAAACTGACTCTTACAGCAGCTGCTAAGAAGGAGGGGCAGCACACTGGGTGCAGGACACATCTTTATTTGTAATATACAAGATGCATAAATCTCAAAGATTCAGAATGGCATAGCAAGTCTTTAGACTCAAAAGAGCATATTGAAACAGGGAGAGAATTTTAAATATCAGGTGCCAACGTAGCAATTTTTGTATTACTCAAATGATTTTAGGGAAACTCCACACAGAAGGGTTTCTAACTCAGAGATTTATATTCTTCTGGAGCCAGAGGATTCAAATACTTAATAAATACCACAACAATGGGAGAACTGGAGCAGTTGTCTCTGCTGCAACCTACAGAAGTTGCACATGAATCCAGAAACAGTTCACTGGCCTAGCAAGTTACAAACATCCCTTGGAAGGAAAACAGGAACTTATTACTGCTGTTAGCCAAGACTAGCAGTTTCTAGGAATGAGATAGTATCTGCTTTTGCTTTACTATGGGTATTGGTTGTTAAAGTTGTGTATTTCCTTTTAAATAAATGTTTTTCTTCTTTATAAAAGAACCTCACTTGTTCTTCAGGTCAGCACTACAGAGTCAGGGAAACTGCCTCTACAGCTACCAAAGGGAATTTATCCACCTTATACTAATTTTCGAACTGGGTTTTTTGGTGAAAAATTCAGTTTTACTGTTACAGTAATTACAAAAGCTTCACAATAAGACACTCATATACATTATGAAATGTCCTTTTGCCTTGTGAAATAAAAATTTGGTAAAAATTCAGTTTATGAAAAAGACAGGGTAAGATCACAGAGTAACTTACCCCATCAGCATGTAGAGAAAAAGCTGTATTTTTAGCCTCCTTTTGGAAAGGCACAGGGATGAAAGAAGAACTTTTTATTCTCAAAACTGGTATTCTGCTACAGACTAGGGATCTGTATCAACAAACAACTTGTTCTCTAATCTGAGCTTCATAATTTTAGCCACAATATATAACTAGGACTTGGGCCCAAAGCACCAACAGTTAGATGTTCTTACAGAGCTCCTTTGTGTGTTTAATACAGGAAAAACTTCTGTACATGTTTAAGGCATTTAATAAAACAAGTGCAAATCTCTAGCATCTTGATGCCTATAATGTATTTTACAGTTATACTGCAAAAATCTAGGTACATGTTAAAAATTATAACTTGAAATGAAACCTGAGTTCAAATCTGGCATAACAGTCATAGCAAAATCTATGGAATATGTCCCATCGTACCATGCCTCCAGTTCTCTGTATAGTTTTGTGATTTCACTGCTCTTTGTACCTATGAAGAGACACTTATGCACTACAACAAGCTACCAATCACAGATTTAAAAAAAACCAAAACCTTGAAAGCAGACCCCTGTGTTATATTTTTACGATACTACTCAGTAAGGACTACAGCTAGAGGCAGTTCCACTGCATTTACAGCTGCTAATAAAATTTCTTTCAATCAGCATACTTCTTAGTTGTTTCTCCAAATCTGAAATCTTAATTGTTAGCAATTACTATAATGCTACTTTATTTGAATCTTTTTCATGGGGAAAATTGTCCTCTATTTTCAAGCTCCTGAAAATTTGATTTTGGGGAAATAAAAGCATCCTGTTAAAAAGAAAAAATTAGTTGCTTGGTAACAAACTACATTTTAAATTAATAAGCTTTACCTTTTGTAGCATCCAAAGATTTAACCATTGCAAGGAAGTCTGAAACCTCTTTACTGAGTCTTTGCTGGCATGCTTGTGCTTTCTGAAAGAAACAAGGATAGCTAGTTATTATAGTGAAATTTTAAAATTTGGACAATAAAATTAGCATAAAATCTTAATTAAGTTAATTTAAATTAAGTTAAATTAATTAAATCTTAATTAAATTAAAAAACATTAAATCATAACAAAGATTCCCAGCCCAGAGACTGATATATTAAGACTGAAACAAATTACTGAAACTACTTTCAAAGACATACAAGCAAAGAAAATGTTTATGAACATTTTATCACTGACCAGATTTTGTTTAATGTACCAAATAACCCCTGTCAAATTTGTTGTATGTGCCACTTTTGCTTTTTCCCTCATTCTTTATTGAGCAGTTTTAAAATATGGGAAGACCAAGTGCTTGTTCTCTGAGAAACTTAAGGACAAAATAAGCACATTCACAGGTTAACTGATAAACGGCAAATATAGTGACATGCAGAAACCAACCCCAAGATCGTATTTCAAGCTCGCATTCAAACTTGGAGACAGCTATGATAAAACCATAGAATGGCTTGGGTTGGAAGGGACCTTAAAGATCATCTAGTTCCAGCCCCTGGCCAACCACACCTTCCACTAGCCCAGGTTGCTTAGAGCCCCATCCCACCTGGCCTTGACCACTTCCAGGGACAGGGCATCCACAGCTTCTCCAGGCAACCTGTTCCAGGGCCTCACCACCCTCTGAGAAAAGAATTTCTTCCCAATATCTAAACGAAATCTTCCCGCTTACCCTATCACAACTACATCTAGTGTGTAAACACTATTACACAGTTGGCCTGTGTAAAAAGTCATTCCCCCTCCTTTTCATAAGCCACCCTTAAGGCCACAGTGAGGTCTCCCTAAAGCCTTTGCTTCTCCAGCTCTCTCAGCCTGTCTTAAAAGGAGAGGTGTTTATTCATTCCAGTGTTCACCTTTGTGGCCTCCTCTGGACCTGCTCTAACATCTTCACATCCTTCTTCTGCTGAGGAACCAGAGCTGGATGTAGCACTCCAGGTGGGGATCTCATGAAGGCAGAAGAGGGGGGCAGAATTGCCTCCCTTGTCCTACTGGCAATTCTGCTTTTGATGTGGCCCAGGATTCAGTTGGTCTTCTGGGCTTCAAGTGCCCTGCTATCTATTAAATAATACCATCTTCTGTAGGTTGCTGGGGACTGCCAGTAGCAGTTATCCTCCCACCTCTGCTGTGCCATGAGCTACTTTAAGGTCTTGTACAAAAAGGAATAGTACAAGCTGCTTGGAGTTCAGCCACATGAAGGTTTTTGTACTGCAGTGTCAACTTTCCTTTAAAACAGAAGGTTTTAGCAGTACATGTATAGCAAAAAGCAAGAATCACAGGCTGAATGCTAGAATTACCAAAGACTACTCAGTTCCATTGCAGGTATGAGCAGTCACTGTACAATGCATCTGATGTCATCTGAGGTGATAAAAGATAGTTTCTAAAACACTTCATTGCCTGTTCTGTAGAGGCAGAACTCTATGTGGGTTAGCTTTGGTGACACTGAGACTGGAGGATAATGAGTACACAAGGCTCCCTCTCCTGGCTGGAACTCTCAAACAGCTTTCTATCTTAGAGTAGTGCTGGCAAAAGTGAAATCACAGCCCTGTAGCTATGATAAACAAATCATTTTAGCCACACAGTCTGAACAGGAATACATGACAGCAAGCAATGCAAACACAAGCAGCATTTATGCATTCATAGGAGGAATCATCTCTTTTAGCCAAAGGTATATTGAAGTATTTTAACACAAAACAAGGCTAATCTGCAACTGCCCAGATGCACAAGCCAAGTAAGTATTCAGTACATACTTTTAGAGTGTCCTGTAGGTCTGTAACGGATACTGCATCATCTTCGTCATCACTACTCAGCTGTTCCTGTGTGCAGTAGTGAGTGCTATATGCAGAGTGGTCCTCTATTGCTTCTAGCCAGCTCTGGAAAGGAAAAACAGAGTTAATAAACATTTCAAAGGTCATCCCCAAAACAAAGGATCACATAAGAAGAACAACAAATTTTCTCTTGATATAAATAAGATAGACATTAGTAAAATGAGACATCTCAATAGCCAAGAAATAGATTGCTAGAAAATGTAACATGTATTGCAGATGAAATATTTGTGGGCAGAGTATCTGACTTAATTTATTAACCCTTAAGCACAAATGTAACCCACACCTCAGACTGTCCAAGGTCACATAAAAAAACTTATTAATTAAAAGACTGTAGGGAATATATTTTGCATCTGTTCAGACTCCAAGGTCCCTGTGACAAAGTCTGCCTTCTTATGCATGACAAACTCTGTGCACAAAACCTCAAGCACTATCACAATTAAGAGGTAGATTCTTTCCCTGTTCATTGGATCACAGAGTGGCTGAGGCTGGCAGGGACCTCTGAAAGCCATCCTCTGAAAGTCCAACCCCTCTGCTCAAGAAGGCCCACCTAGAGCTGGATGGCCAGGACATCCAGATGGCTTTTGAATATCTCCAAGGATGGAGATTCCACAACTGCTGTGGACCCCCTGTACTTCAGTTTGTGCCCATTGCCTCTGGTCCTGTCACCGGGCAACATTGAAAAGAGCCTTGCTCTGTCCCTCTCGGCACCTCTCCTCAGGCATTTACATACATAGGCAAGCTTCCCTGAGCCTCCCCTTCTCCAGACTGAGAAAGCTCTCTCAGCTTTTCCTAGTAAAAGTGATGCTCTGATCCCTTCAATCACCTCCATGGCCCTTTGTTAGGTTCCCTTTAGTATGCTTGTATCTCTCTTGTTGTGAGAAGCCCAAAACTGGACACAGCACTCCAGTTGCCTCCACCCCAACTCCATCTCTAGTTAGTACACCTACAGAAGTACAACAGTGAATATACTACAAATAGCCCTAAAAAAAAAATGTTTCTCTTGTTTCAGAGCCACCTTTTGAGAAAATACAACTTATCAGGTCATCTGGGAGTATGGTTAAGAGTAGAGTGTACCATTAAGCATTCTTTTGTTTGGGATAATGAACTATCAAAGTGCAACAGAAGGAGGCTGCAATAGAAATTTACCACGTGGAGAAGTGAATGAAAAACAGGAAGTTACAACAAGGCATAATACAGGCACAGAGCTGGAAAACAAGGCAGGACTTACTTTAAAGAAGAGATTATTACGATGAGCCAATTTTTTGCTGTTTAATCTATAGCCATGCTAAAAGATTTAATATCTGCACTTATGCTACCAAGTCCTGATGATCAAAATATGAAACACACTGCTACTAATGCATCCATAGCAATTAGTATGCAAATTATTCATTACAGAAGTTACTGTATTTTAATGCCTTTGACAAAGACTCATTATTACCTCTCTTGTTTGAGAAGGAAGGTTATTTTTAGGAATCTTGAAACGATGAACAGTGTCATCAAAACATCTCACAGAAAAGAAGCAACTGTCTGTTGATTTTACCTAGAGCAAAGTGGAGAAAAAACAAAATTAGTATAATGAATCAGTCAGAAAAAAATAATGTGTAAGCAAATTATAAAATTATGCTCAACTCAGAAGTTTTTGCCTCATTTTTGATCCAAGTAATTGTAATTTATAAGAACCTTGGTCAGAACAGTTTTCCAAAGTGTGTCATTATGTTATTAATAGTAATATAGAGGTTCTTATGGTTAAATATTATATTTGTATTTATTTGCACCACCTGATTCAGGCAAAACCTCAGCAGCGGTTCAAGATCGCCAATATTAAGGAATTTGTAGATACCGAAAAGCAAGTCACTTTTCCATACAATATGAGTGTATATACAAGTGCAGCTTAACAGAACTTGTGGTGCCAAACCAGGATAGGGCAGTTATAGAAATATGGAAATGATCTTAAATGCATTTTTCTTAAACACTTCATCTTCCTGGGCATTATAAATGACACCTGGCTTTGGTTTTCTCTGTTCAGCCTTCCAAAACGGATTCCCACAAGCATAACGGAAATCAGGGAATTTTTCCAAACGTCACCTTCAAAATTGATTAGTCTTTCAACTGAGGCCAGCTTAAGTTATGCAATCGGTCACAAGCAGCCAGGGACAGCTAAGGGGGAAGTGGAGCTTTGGCTATTCCAGATCACATGCTTCAAACCAACCCAGTCTGCTTTCAGGATACCTTGTGTGTCTAAATCTTCAAAGCTTTAGAAAGCAGTGAGGGAGCTTTATGGCCACTTTACATAAAAGACTACTTTGCTGGAGAGGAACAAGCGTTTCTTTCAACAGCACAAGATTTCTCCCTATTTCATAACAAAGATCGGGTTACCAATCCAGTGGAAGTTTTCATTAACCAGGAATGGAATACAATGGAACATAAAAAAACCAACTCAGTTGTTACAACACATTCCTACCGTGCAGATAGCTTGTGTTAGATGCTTGCATCCCTGACGATGATCGTTATTCACTGCATCGGCTCTTTGAAAGAAAAAGAGATTTAGTGAAGCAAAGACAGGAATTATTTAAACTGCTTTTCAGAAACTTAAACACAGAACTTACTGTCTCCGATACCAGGAAAGCACTCCATGTTCTAGAACTATCCAGTAGAGTTTCCAACCAAAAAATCGTGAGCTCTAAAAGGGGAAAAAAAAAAAGGCTAGGTAAGCTCAACAGAATACATTTAATACAGACAGCTCAGTGTGCAGCTGCAGTGTGATGAGCAGAACTGAGCTCTGGGTGGTAGGAGCCTGAGGCAAGAGACCACGAAGTGGTCTTTGTTTAGCCAAGGGCACAGGGACTTTGTGGTGTCAGGAGCTGAGGACTCAGCAGGAAGACTCCAGACTTTCACATGCTTAGATTGCAAGGGCAGAAAAACTCAGGGGGGTTCCTTCGTATTAAAGTAAGGATCCAGACATCTGAGACTCAGCTATGGGAAACCAAGGGTCAAGCTGGTAAGGAAACCTTGTCTGACTGAGTGTGGTGAGTTTACAGAGCCAAGCTGGGCACTCATCAACTCCCTGGAGCCACCAACTGCAAAGGGGCTTCAGTCCCAGCAGTTTAAAGTCTCTGGTGGAAGAAGTGTGATGGACAGAGGGACTCCTGCATGGTCAGGCAAAGAAGCTCGCTTAACACCTAAAACTAGTAAACATTACAGAAACCTTTTAGGTTCTGCATATCCTGATGATCACAACAACATGAGAGTATTTTCAATTGCAGCACTACTCTTGTTTTGGAATCACCTAAAGATAAAAGCTGAGCCTGCTACCCAGTAACAACTGAAATATTAAAATGTTGTATTTTTTAATATTACAAGAATTCTTGGGCACCACACAGTTCTATTTTATAAAATGAAATGAGAAACAAAACACATTGATGTCTCCAACTACAACACTTTATCTTTCTCAAGCTTTAGCACACAGTTCTTCTTTAAGAACAGCTCCTTATATTACAATTGTGGTATAGGAAAATTTACACTGAAAAAAGCTTTAAAGATTTCATTAAGCAACATAACTAAACATTCATGTAGACCTTCCATTCACTTGAGCAACACAGCCAAATGAGCTTTAAACTCTTTGAATGCCATCTTCCCACTAAGTTTTAAAATTTTCAGAAGATGATGGCAAAATATTAGTCACAGTTTCTTAAAGACAATGTATCAGTCAGAGATTATCAAAGTAATCTACTGAGAAAAGAAAAAGCATTTTGCCCACACAAAAGGAACAAAGCCTTATCACAGTGAAGCTTTGCCACAAAAATTACCAAGAAATAAAGATTTTAGTGACTGAGGTTATGATCAGGATACCACAAATCTGGTAGCTGCTCCACTCAGCCAGCCCATCTATACATATTATACAAAATTACTATTAAGTACTATTCAAAAATCCTTTCACTCATCAGTTATAACTGAACTATAGAAAAAGGACATACTTTGAAATCTTACAAGCTATTTTAGAAAGAGAAATAAGCCATACCTTCCACAGGAGACCTTCATATCGTCTCAGGGGTTTGTTGATAACCTGCACAGAAATTAAAGCTCATATAGGAATAGCTTCAACTAGACAGCCTTGGCATTTTAAATTGATACAAAAGTTCCTACCTTTCCAGTTTTACCTGCCAGTATCAGTTTCATTTCTGCACCTTGGGCTAGATCAAGGGGTGTCTGATCTGTTTAGTAACAAGACAAGGCATGAGAATTTGATGCAAGTAAACTCAGATGTACTTTAAAATAATTTGACACTCATTATCCATGAGTTTGGCCTTCAAGCATCTACACTTATAATTGGGGAACATCAACTCCTCAAGGGCAAAAGACTAAAAAAGGTATTGAATTTTAAGGCACTGCATTGCTCATCAGAATTCTATTAACCACAGAGAGCCCTTTGCCCTTACTGATTTAAATTTGTTTTTAGCTTCCATCTATAAAAAACAGTTTAGGACACTCACAAATATCAAGACAGAGGCATATTTAAACAGAGGACAAGAACACAGTTTGCATAACATCTGCATCAAGTTTTCTTCTTTTTGGTTTCATTAGAAGTCTTCTTCTAAGGAGTCACTTTGTCTTGGGCACATTTTCAATCTTGCTTTTTTTTGTTACCTGTGTTCAATATTTAGCATCAAGAAAACAAAAGCCAGGCACATTTCACGGTTAAGACAGTCAGGAAATTTTACAGAAACTGGAAAGCTTGGAAAATAAAAGCACATACAATAAGTATTTTGCTACAGTTCTCCAGCCTCTTGCAATTTAGCCACATTTGGCCTTCCTTTATTAGTGACACAAAGCTTGTAAAGCACTGTAAGGTTTTCCCTGAACACTGCATAATAAGAAACACAGCTTGCAGAAGATGTTGAATTTGTGTCTCCACTTAATAGTTAACGTACTCTTCATTTGGTACTCACCATTTTTGTTTTTTATTTTAGGATCTGCTCCATTTTTTAGAAGTTTCAATGCACAGTGCTTATGAGCACGGTACGCTGCACAGTGCAAGGGTGTGTTCCCCATCTGATCTGTACAGTTGATATCAGGTGGCTTGCGCTTGTTTAACTGGAAAAAAACAAAGTTTGCTTACTTATCAGTTCTCCCCCCTCTCCAGATGCCATATTCTCTATTTTCAAAATTAGTTGTTCCTAACTAGGATGCTTCAGTGTAGATCTGGCAACAAAGAGGGCATTTAGCAAGTGTTATGACAAGGGCAAGGAGTGCAACAATCAAACAAGACGTTCAGCTAGAGTAAGGAACTTCAGTGTTTTGCTTGCTATACCCCTTCCACCTCCGCTACACAATATGGAGACATTTTTCTGCTTAACTGCACAGTGCCAGGGAAAGTTGCTCAGTATTGCAGTCCAGTCATTTATATGCTAGAATGGCCCTGCCCAGCTCTACTGTCAAAAATCTGCTGTTCTTCATAGAAGACTCCCAGGCATGGTGCAGAAGTTAGCACAGGCCAGTGCTAAATCCAGAAAAAAATTGTGCAGCCACCCTGTTTCAGAGGGTAAGAACTTTGTACTGAAGGGTGGCAGACCTGCCAGTCTCAATGCCAGATATCCTAGGCCATTTAGAGCTCCTTGGATAGGCAATCTGTTACAAACAGTTTTGCTGCATTCTTAAGTCCATTAAGATAAAAGTACCTATGTAACCAAGGGAAAAAAAAACACAACCCAAACTTGAGTTTTACTTGCACACAATATAAACATTTTGAGAAACTGACCCCTTCAAAGAGCAGGGTCATGAAGCATGACACTGCTAACTACCCTAAAACACCACTACACTCCTATCCAAATATGTGGCTACTGGATGCATACATGGGGGTAGGACTGAATGATCAGTAGAGGTTCCTTCCAGCCCAAACCATTTTGTGCACTGCCAGCTACTTAAGCTCACAAGCCAGGTGGGAGTGCCTTACTAGAAAAGGCTAAGTTACTGATAAGCAGTCTTAGGAGAACAGAGTCACAAGTGCATGACAACAACTTTTGAGAAACTCAGTTTAAGTATTCACATTAGGTATATGCTATCTTTAGATAAAATTACAAAATATCAGAATTCCCATGGCCACAATTTAACATCAACAGCAACTACTTTATATGAACCTCAGAAGTAGTCCTATAAGGGATAAACTGTTTATCCCTTATACAAGGTGTTGTTTACAGCTGGTAAGAGAACAAAAGTCAAAAAGGGGGAGTTTGTGGAAGTACACCCTCATTAACACTGTAGTCAAATACTTGCATTCCTGAGGATTTCTAAGCTTTAGCTCTTTCCAACCAGCTGTTTTACATTTACTTCCTCTTCTGACTCTTGCCTCCATACATTTTAAGCCACATGCCTGTGCTTTCAGCACCTTATGCCATGTCACAAAGGAATATTTGGAAGAAAGCTTCATGCATCAACTCAGATAAAAATCTCTCCAGTCACTTCAGGAAATGTACAGTACATTTTTGAGAACTCACAGGAAGAACACACTGGCTTTGCCTCAAGTAGACTAAGGAGCCTGGGTTAAGATTCAGCTGCTGAAGATCTAACTTCTAGTAAATAGCATGTTCTGGTGTTAGGTGAAAGTAGTAAAAGTAGATATAAGCAGCTAAAGTTCCATGAGCATCATAGTCTGCTAATAAAAAAAAATTAAGTAGGAGCAGAAATGCCTGAACAATCAGTAGGTAAAGAATGGTGAATTTTGGAGCTAAAGGGCAGTTCTGAAGAGCTGAGGGTAGGAAAGTCAAAGTCACCATAGAGCTGTAAGTGTATTCCAAGGAACACCTGTTAAGAATTGACTTAAAACTGACTCTAGGTCAAAAACATGACAATACTTTGAAAAGTTTTAGAAGACAATATATAGCTCTCTTCCCATATACAGAGCTCAAAGACGGCAAATATTTTAAAAAAAGAAAATCACTTAGAAATTACAATGTTCACAGGGAGAATTACATGCTCATGCATAGTTACATGCCACATGAGAGAAAGCAGAGTTTTTTAGGGACAGATTTCTAGAAGGAGACAATTTTTTTCTGATATTTTTTCATATCAGATTAAGGATTAGTCAGCAGACATGTAACAAGCATTAAAATTATCAGAATCAAAACAGATCACTTATGTCAGTGTATTAATTACAATTAGTACAACTGTGCACTGTACTAATACACTGTTTTTTCACATATTGTGTTCTTTGTACAGTGCTAGATCTCTCACAATTTCAAAGAGGACAGTATAAAATCTCCAAATAAGAATTACAAGGATGACCAAAGATTAAACAAGAGTTTCCATGCAAGGAGCTAGAAAGACAAGGGTGTTTCGGGCTAAAAGAAAAATATTTAGAGGGGGGAAATAAATTGCAAACAGGTGTTCACTTCTGGCTTCCAGGCAGAAAAACAAAGAACATATACAAATCTCACATTTGTGAATTTTCATGCCTGAAAAGGCATTACTACAGGTGCTAAGTAGGTAAAAACTGTTCCATAATGCAAGTCTTACTTCTAAGGACACTCTTCAGGACTCTGAAAAGCTTGAGTTCAAGCACTGGGACTCTGCTTCAAAACCCAGCTGGATTTGGTCCTGAGCAAAATGCTCTAGTTCATTCTGCTCTGCAAACAGGAACTGGACTGGATCACGTCCAGAGGCACCCTCCAGTGTTTCTGTGATCTACTTCTGCCACAGCCTTACCATGCCACCACACTGTTCATCTGGGATTACTACGAGCGTGCACACACACAAATACACAGTTTTCCACTTCTGGTCAGCATGGAACTGTGCTGTGCAGATGACTGTCTGTTAAAAACTACAAGAGATGCTAATGAGAAAGAGCTTACTTTCAAGATTAAAGACAGGCCTCACTGTGGTGAAAATCTGGACATCCATGACATTAAGGTATCCACAATAACATAATAAGCTTATCTCAGCAGACCATGAACCACTACACTGCTGTTTACAACTAACTAGTGAATTATTTCTAAAGGATTTAATAACACAAAAGAAGTTGAAAATCGTTGGTTTTGCAACTTCCAACAAAGAGGGTTCTGCTTGAGGGTTCAGCACCTTACCAATACAACATGGGGCACAGCACTAATATTCCAGTCACAGCCTTTGAAATGCAAAGCACAAAGTCATATTTTGTTATATTAGCATTATGGGTTGAATCACTTGACTTGAATTCTTACCAACGCAGTCAGTTTCCCTGTTTCCCCCTCTCTTGCTGCTCCTAAGAGGAGTTCTTCCAGTTTCCTTTCTTGTGTCCTTTCCACTGCTATTAAAAAAAAGAGAAATAAAAGTAAGGTCATTCTCAGTAAAGTACATATGAGGTACAGCATTCAAAAATGTACAGCAAAACAAGCCTAGAGAAGCAAGAGTTTCCAGTATTATTTATTTGAGACAGGAATATTTATTTGAGACATAGAATATTTGCTCAGAAAAGTCTGTGTCAGAGCAAAAATATGTTCAAAGCACATAAAATCTGATAAGATGTGCAAGTTTGTATACACATACTTATTATTATTATTTTTTCAACTCTTAAAACCATGCCCACTACCTGCAGAAGGGAAAATGAGAACTATGCAACACCCTCATCTCAGATCTTCCCTACATTCTTTTCAGCTTCTCTTCTACTCTTCTTACCATCCTACCAAAATTTTATTCTTGTCTAACGATTCAGCAGATGAGCAGTGGAAATGAGTTACTTGTGCATTTGCATGTAGAATAAGAAGAGAGTTCACTTCTTACATGCAGTCTGTGGTAGTGGACACAGTAGTCTGTGGTAGAGCTCCATCAGTATTTAGGAGTATTACATAGTAATACCAGGAAGCAACAGTTTTTGAACTCTCCGAAACTATAATCAGTGGACTAGATTAGTTTTTGGACACCATCTGCCTCATCTCTGACACCTGTGAGGCCATGGTGGAAGCAAGGGGAAGTGTTTTTATTTTTTTTTGCCTTTTGACACAATGTCTAAGACTGCAATAGCAAGTCCTAAATCTGATCCATAACTGGGTCACCTTTGCAAACTGTTCAGAATTTTGCTCTCTAATGATCTGGTTGACACAAAGCCACTTACTGTTCTTGACTTGAGTTTTGTCTCTTCCAGTGAGCCAAGGCTGTGACTGCCCACATGCCATTCAAATCTGTAGCAAGGACTACTCCAGCAGGACTGAAATAGTAACCTGAACAATGCTATTTGTATTCATAATACTTAACTCTAGAGTCCCAAAAAAACTCCACTTGTCAGTATCGCAGACAAGAACCAAAAACTATGACTGTTTTCTTTCTAATAACCAGATTTAAAAAGAAAATTCAACTGAGCTTCTGTAACTTGCAGGGAAAAAACAAGCAGCTTTTAGAATGCACACGTTAAAAAAAGACCAAAACAAACTTTAACCTATTCAAGTTACCTTCCAACATATTCCTTATGTCTTTGTCATAGGTAACTTCTTTTGCAGTCTCTCCACTGCCGTTAACAATAGAAGGATCAGCATTATGCTGCAAGAGTAACATCACCACCTCCTGAAAAACAATTCAAAAAACACTCCTTATCTGTCTGTGTAACTGCAAGGCCACAATCAGGCTTTCTAGCTATTGACATCCTGTAAGATGAGCTTTGTAACCAACGGCTTCTCACCACTGCTGGTTTCTTATGAAAACAGGAAGGGATGTTTTAGAGAGATTGAAGAGTGAGACTGACTGCAACATTTTCTCTCCCATCAATCAGGCTGAAGGAACCAACACCTGGTGTGACTGCTGACTTGGACAGATAAAAATTGTACAACTGGCTCTTTTGAAAAAACAGTAAGTAGTCACTACTTCTGAAGGGCCAAGATGTTATCCATAGAGGTAGTACTAGTTTTGGAATGATGAATGATGGTGGCAATGGGGGACGGGGTGGAGGAGGGGAATCGAACTAGTGTCACATTACACAGGCCTATAACAAGCTCTTTAGTTCTAATTAACTATGAAGAAACAGCACTTCCAGACACTGTGTGGAAATGGGCCTGTGTGTCCTCATTCAAGAGATTTCTTTCCCCTCCAGAAGCTACTAAGATTAAAACAATGTGGTTTCTCTCTGTGGTTTTTTTTTTTTTTTTCGGACAGTTATGCAAGCTAGGCAATGTGCCTAATCCTTCTGAACACGCTGTACCAAAACAGACAATAAGTCATTTTTAGACCCTGTAAAAACATCTTTTTGAAGTGATCTTATTGCTAGTACTTTCTTAATAATTCTGCAAGTGAGGCTTAAAAAAGCCACCATACTTTACCTTACGGCCTGTGAAAGCTGCTCGATGGAGCGGAGTGTCCCCCATGTCATTCAGCACATTCACATCTGCACCTGCCTAAACAGCAAGACCAAAAGACATCTGAATATCCTTCCAACAAGAACTACATGGCTATTCCCTCTGCCTGGAGGGAGAAGGGGAGACAGGACACTAATGTAGACTTCGTGGCAAATCAGATCAGAACTGCAATACAGTTATCCTGGAAACAAGGATGAAGTATGTATCTAAGATTCATCACCAACATTCTCTCAATTGCTTCAAAAAGGAAAAGCCCCCTGCATTTTTCCAGGCATATCTCACACTTTTAAGAAGAGGGTATATGGAAAGTAAGTTTAATACAAGGGCTGGGGGCTGTTATTGTCTTGGTTTTTGTTTGGCTTGGGTTGTTCGGGGTTTTCTAGGTTTTCCTGTTAAATCTCCCTTTTTTTGGTCATGCACTTTCTCCATCCCACGCCTTTTATCTGAAAGGAGGAGTGGTTGCCACACTGCACAGGCACTCTTCCAAGAAACCAAGAAATCCTATCCTTCTTTCATTAAGTATTTCTTCTACACCACGCTACCTAACCTCTCAAAGGGTCAAAGAGAGGGCAGAGCATACTTAACTTCATCACATATGTTTAGATCATACGATTTAGCCAGGTCATTGCTGCCTGCCTCAAGTTAACTGATGAACCTTACTAGTTCCAGAGCCCTGCTTCTGATAATGCCTCCTTCACTTGCTTTTGCACAAGTACATAGACACACTTATACATGGCTAGCTTCCTGAAGTGCATGGCATCACTTATTTCTCACCTTGTTCTTTAAATAATATCCTTTCAAGAGCTCTATCAAAAGAACTAAAAGTACTAAGTCCTTCTATACCCTATACTCTTCCAACTCTTGAAGCTGGATGCTTGATAAATGTATTAAGTGATAAAACTTTACCTTTTGCTTTAAGTAGCCTGCTTGAATTGAAAATTGCTTTGTTTACTGAGCAAGTGTGTAGGCTAGAGAAAAATTTCTCAAAGAAATCTCAAATTTGTTTCCTTCTTTAAAGTCTGGATTACGCTGTCAGCTTTTATTCTTAATGAAAATCAAGTTTAGCACTAGTTAGCTTTGTACTTGAGCCTGTTTATCGCACTCCTGCCATCCAGCAAAATCTTTCAAATTTGAAAGAGGGTCTAATATAGTTAAGGTTGGTTGAAGCTACCCTGAGAGCAAAAACAAAAAAAATTCAGTCAGAAACCACATAGTCACTGCATTTGCAGTTGTTATGCAAATACAAACTCATCCATTTTGATAACAGAAATCCATAATTTCAAAATTCACCGTGCAGTTCATTATTTCAAACGTTAGAAATAATGAGTCAAAATATATTAGCCTGCACCTGAAAGAAACACATATAGGCTACTCTGCACAAAATTCTGTGCATACTTCTATGCACAATATAGAATTAGATAATGCAGAATTTTTTGCATTTGAGACACTTTAGCCTTTTCTACAGCTCAGTAACTGAAACTGCCTAAACTTAAGCACTTTGTGTACAACAGTAAACTAATCAAACTATTGAAGTAATTGCATGACTAGTATCACATGCTGGCTTATTATATACAGATACCCACTAAGCTTCAAAAAACCTGAGCTTTCATGAGTGCATATCTATATATTGCAGATCTTTAGTTCCTATATGCAGATACTTAACTGCAAGAGAAAACCAGCTAAGTACCAGTAATTGTAAAAACTGCTCAGAGTAAGGGCAGTATGCTACTGTATAGACTTCCACTGTCACTATTTTGGATCCTTCTAAACCAGGCCTATCTTAACGTCACAACAGTTACATGTTACATGTAGATAAACTGTAGGAGTGCCTCTGCCTCTCTGCAAAGCCTCCTTTCATCTACCACAAAAACCTGAAGAAACCCTAACTGCTTCTAACCTTACACAGAGAGGAAAACAGATATATACCTTCAGCAAATCCTCTACCACAACAGCATGTCCAAAGTAGCAAGCAAGGTGAAGAGGTGTCCAACCCATATTAGACTTACTTCTGCCTAAAAGACAAAAGAGGTAAATGAAGTTTTGATCACACAGTACAAAAGAGATATTGTTGTGTGCTTGGAGGTTGTCATGGATGACCATTCTTCACAGCAGCAGAGGAATAAAGAGGCTGGAAGCATCAATACTACTCATAATATTTAAATTACTAATTCAGGAGGCAGTTTGAGAAAGATAGATTCAAATCTAAAAAAAAAAAAAAATCAAAACTAAACACTAAATACCTAACAAACCAAACAAAATCAACCCCAAAAACCCAAATAAAAACCCCCACAACTTTATGAAAGGGAAAAGTCATGTCACCTGAGACTAAAACTTTTCTTTGCATGCAACACCTTTCAATACCAGCAAGTAGCTTCAGTTACTTTCCTTCTTTATTCACTATGAAAATGGCACATGCAAGCACATTTTTCTCTTTTTTATCAAAACACTCATTGGTTTACACAATTTTATTTTCTTCACACAAACGAGAGGTAAGACAACCCATCTTTCAAACAAAGGATTCAAACTAAAATAGGTGGAATGACCCAATGTTGAGGCTTTTTGTCGTCAGCTTTGTCTTGTGCTTTACTCAGTTCTAATAAAGACAGCCTCATTAAGTAATGTGCTTTGAAATCTTTATGCATAGTAGAACTCATGTATCATCTACAGCTCTAAGTCTCAGAATGATAAAGAACAGACAGAAAGCAGGCACACGAATGATCATGGAAAATAAAATATGATTTATGCTTTAAAGAGCACTTAAAACATGACCTGGAAGACTGGCTGTATGAAACTCAACAACTCTCCCACAATAATTTCTTTAAAAGCAAGATATTAAAGCATTCAAGATTACTAAAGTTAATAAGTCACTTTACTTTCCAATGGCAACACTCAACTATATTAAGCAAAAGAACCCGTACCCTGTTTTTAACTAAGCAATACACCCACAGCATTACAGTGTCACCTAAAAGCTATCATTTTGTACTTGGAAGAAAAATGAAAATAAGGCAGTAGAAATTGTTTTGAAATCACTGCCACCATAAGTTTTCCCCTGTCACATAAGCTCAAGTACTGAGGCATGGAACACACACAACATAAGTTTGCCCTGAGAAAACAAGCCACAAGCACAAGGAAAATAAACCATTCATCTTGAAAGTTCATCATCTTTTCTGCTCTCGTATTAAAAATTAACATTAGAATGTGATTCAGAGCTGAAATATTTTCCCATTTCTTATAACTGTTTCCAGCTAACATTCCTGCTCTTTATTGACAATTTCTTTTGTAATTTGATTCTCCTTCTTCTGAACTCTTGTTGTTTCCAATCCCAGATTTAGATCTTTCCCTCATTACAGTCTGGCCAACAACAGAGCTCCTACCCTATGTTACTGATGGGCCAAAGTATTACAGAAGATAAATACTGTGTGGACCACTAACTCCGGGGCTAGTTATGTTGGATAACATACTAAAGGGACATCACTCATCCCTCAGTCCAGTAGGGACTAATGTTCATTCAAAGAACACAAAAGAGATCTGAGTTGCACTGAATTCATACAATTAGGTCAAAACATTCATTAGTTAACAGCACTGACAAGACAGTTCTCTCTGTGGTTTTTTTTTTTTTTTTCAAAAACCAAAAAAAACCAACCAACCAACCAACCAACCAAAACAAAAAAAAAAAACCAAAAAACCAAACACAACCAGAAATCTCTCCAGATTTATAGTTCTTACTGAATAAAGTAAGAACAGGCCCTTGTTCTGCATCCACTCTGAATGTCTGCATTTCTGATGTTAGCTGACCATTTATTTCTCAAGCTTTTGAGGTATTACTTCTCTTCAAAGTGACCACAAGTGTTTGCACTTTATTTTAAACCATGACAGCGACAGTATTACACTAGGGAGAATGCAAGGATAGGAAAGAAGAAACAATGTAATTCCAACAAAAAACATAATTCCTTTCCCTCTTACACAAAGCTCTTTGGTATAATGCCACTTAACTCTAAGTCTCAAGTGTTACCATTTGCTTAGAGAATGGAGACAAGGTAGGCAGCCCTTTTCCAGCTGTGTGCTGCTAGGCCACTGCGTAGTCATTCAAAAGTGTATTTTGCCATAACACACTATTGACCATTGACCTTACCTTACAGAGTTTTTACACTGCAAATTCCTAGATACCCTATTTTATTGTATTTAAGAAGAATGAGCCAAGAGATGTCCTTAGAAAACACGATTATTTTGGATGAAACCTGGGTTTGGTACTGTTTTAATGTACATTCCTTCTTTCCAAACCAGTGAACTGAGGAACCCAAAAAGAGAAGTTTAGATAATTTGGCTGGATTTTCCTCAAGCAAATCCTGCTTATCTGCAAGCACTGACTGGGTAGAATACAGTCACAACTGAGCAAGTACAGAAGCTTGAACTTATTTTCTCTTCCTTCAGTTTGGTAGAAATTGTGATGTTTAGGATCACTGTTGTCAGACTTGGCACTTATGAATATACAGCACACACAGCCTCAGATGTAGCTCCCCTCTGAAAAGACAAGGAGAAGATGTCAAAAGACAGGTTTTGACACCCAGACACACCAACTTGTCAAACTTTGGGCTACCAAGGCACACCCTGCAGGACGTTTACACCACCTGCAGTACAGCCTCCCACCTGCTCCAGATGCACTTTATTCCAAGCCAAGCAGCACTGCAGTATCAGATGGAAATCCTGAAGGAACTGCTACAGCACTGAAGACATTCCCCATACCCTGACTTTCTAGGGACATCTATTATCCAAGATAATGACAGGACCACAAGAGGCTGTCAGGAAGAGAAGGAAGATTAAGCATTGCAAAAAGATAGTTACAGTCTACAGTGTGTACTTTAGTTAATCATCAGGTTGTTATGCAATTACTATCTGGTGCTACCCAACAGATCAGAACTTGTAGCAAGACACAGTGGTTTAGCTAGTGAGGAGGCAGAATGCCAGGGCCAGTTATACAGCAGAGGCTGTTTGGCCTGAATTTGTCTTAGACTGTTTCCAATGGAACACTCTATGGGAGCAAAGTGAAACAAGTCAGTCTCTGAAAAATGACTACAGATTTAACTCTGAAGTTTCACACAACTAGAGCAGTTCCTCCAAATAACATTAATTACACTTCTGTGTCCTCAGACATTTAGAAGAATTGAAACTTCAAAAGCAGAGATTTCACAGTGAACAAAATCCATATTTGGAACTAGTTTAGGTTAAATGTAATATCAAAGCACATTCCTAGCTTTAGGAACCCTATAGCTTCCTAGACCTCCCATTAGCAAGCAAGTATTAACCAACTGGCATGTACTTCTGAACTGGAAAAACAGCTAAGCACCATCTTTCACTTCATTACTTGAGTCTCTTCTACGCTGCAGACTTTCTCACCAGAGACCCCTTTGCTTGATATAACAGACAGTAGAGTATACCATGTCAGTAAGTTTCCTTGACTTCAGATTATGCGTAAGAACACATCAGAGACACTCTGACACCTCTTCTAAGGACAGGAGACTTCAGGAACTTATTTATGGGCACCGTTGCATGAATCTTAAGGTACTTTTACTCCAATTGTTTAGGCACTACACATATTGAATATTTACCAAGGATATACTTCTGGGGTGGAGGACTTCAGCTTCATCAAGGTATGTTTGGCTCCCCTTTAAATTATGAACTAGCTCCCCAGAGATGAAGTAGCAAGAGCTTGGGTTTCACAACTTCTTTTCTAAGGTGAGTACATTAACCGTTGAGAAAACACAAACACGGCTGAGTAGTCAAACAAAATGATAAGTAAGCTAATGATTAAGAATGAGACTTGGGAAAGGGATAGAGCTTGTTCAGGTAATAGGAATCCCTGCCCTTTAGGGCAAGGTGTTCCCATTTGTCAAGGTTGAGAGGAAGCACAGTTGATTACTCCCCTCTCCCTCTGCAGCACCTTCTTCTCAGTGCTGCTAAACAGCTAAATGACAAGCAATGGAATACCAGCCTGGGTAGAAAGAGTGAGATTCACATCCACATCTTGGAAACAACCAGAAACACACTCATGTAAATAAAGAGAAATATAAATCTACTAAAATAACAAAGAGGTAAGGTAGTCTGCAACTGCTAGCAAGCTTGCAAATCTAGTCCCAGTTTGAAGTTTTTAATGCACAGCAAGCAAGTTGCTGAGCCACACCTATGTTAGCTGCACATCAGCAAAACTTCAGTGATGGCCAAAGACCCAGACCTAGATGAAGAGCAGTCTTAGCTTCTTTTCCCAAGTAACCTAGTATTCTGCAGAAGTAAGAAGTAAACATTTGTCCCAAACATTTTTGCAAGTGGCAAGACATGTAACACTTCTACTGTGTGATAACAAAATATGGGGCTAAAAAACCCCAAAATAATAAACCCTTACACTGAGCAGAGCACAAATGACTGACCTTATCTAATATTCTCTGCAGCTCTGATGAAAGCTATTTACCTCCCTGAACAATCCCCAGGCACCACAATCTGTTCTGTTTAGTATTCTAAAGCCTCAAAATTGGCAGAAGTATGAACACAGGCAAAAAGAGGTACTGTTCCCTTGTCGACACATCTAGTGTCTATGAATTACGCTGAGTTTTTCTGTACACTGCAAATATCCATACTCTTTTATTATCCCTCCCCTATGCAAATATGCCCTTAAGTCACAGTATAAAAGCTGTTTAAGTGGGTTTTTTTATTACTGTACTGAGCACTCCAAAGAAAGCAAGATTATACTACCGCTATCAGTTTCACTACATGTGACTTTAACAGCAAGATTGCAAACATTTGAGGAAGGCTACTAACCTTTACAGTTGATATCAAAGCTTATTTCTCCTTTGTCCAAGGTATCCAACAGCTGTTTAACTTCTTCAGCATTTCCATTTCTAGCATCATGGAGAAGCTGTTGTTCTGCTTCTGTAGTCATCTCTGATAAAATATACAAAAGAAGAGATTGTGCAATCAGTTATACGCTGTAAGTTATGGCTTAAAATTACGTCACCTTTAGCTGTTATTTAATACTAACCCTGGTACGAGAAAGATAACTATTCTCTCTGTGGCACACACTTAATGCCCAAGCTGTTGCAACAGCCCAGCACACAGGCTACTAAGAAGCATTAAAATTCCTCATACAAAGCAGTTAAATAACCAAATACCCATGTTTTCTTGCTTCTCTGTTTTCTAGGTTCTAAGGGTGGCTTGGGAGTTGAAACTCTATGCCATAAACAAGGCAAGCTTTGCTACAAGCATAACCAGTAAGCATTTGCTTTTTCCTTACAAGGCTTTCACCCTTATCCCTTCAGGTTTCCAAAGGCAACAGGAATGAAAAAAAAAAAAAAAGAAAGTAACTATGTACATCCATTAACCCAAGTATTACCTGAGAATTAATTGACAATTATTTTGGCTGCCAACCCTAGAGAACAGAACGTCTTTGCATGGAGATGTCAGATACCCATCAGTGATTAGTACTACCATCTCCTGAGCCTGGGTATCTGAGACCCTGCAACCTCAATGTGAAGGGGAATTGGGGACTCAGACAACTTTGTAGATTTGACTTTATCTTTAAGAAACACAACAGTACAATATAAGGAAGTTAACACACAACTGTAAAAGATCACTAATTAATTCTAATCCTACCATTGCTCTTGAACTGCAAAGAAAAAACAAAAGGTATTTATGACTTTCAAAGAAGGGAGAAAACAAAACCTTTTAACAAAACTATTTTACAGCTCTCTACTAGATGGGGAGCCTTAGATCTTTGGGCAAGCAATACTGCTACTTACCAGGTCTGTTGAAGAATACAGTTACTAAGTGATGTCTTAACCAATCTTTTTCTACACTGAAATCACAATCTGAAGTTGGTTTGCCTTTTTTTTTAATGCCATTACAATAGTGACCAACTGTATGAAGTTTAACAAGCACAAGTGCTGGACTCTGCATCTGGGACACGGCAACCCTGGATGTGGACAGGGGAGTGAGATGTTGGAGAGTACCAGTGCAGAAAGGGACCTGGTGATGGGTCCTGGTCGATGGCAAGTTGAACACAAGTCAGCAGTGCCCTGGTAGCCAGGAGCGCCAACTGTGTGCTGTGGGGCATCAGGCACAGCATTGCCAGCCAGGCACAGGAGGGAATTGTCCTGCTCTGCTCTGCACTGGGACAGCCTCACCTCGAATGCTGAGGGCAGTTTTGGGCACCACAATATAAAAAAGGCATTAAGCTATTAGAGAGTGTCCAAAGGAGAGCAATGAAGATGGTCAAAGATCTGGAGGGGAAGCTTTGTCAAGGGAGGCTGAGGTTATTTGGTTTGTTCAGCCCAAAGAAGAGGAGACTGAAGGGAGAGCTCATTGCAGTCTCTTATGGGGGAAAGCAGAGGGGCAGGTACCAACTTCTTCACTCTTGTGTCCAGTGCCAGGACTTGGGGAAAAAGCATGAAGCTGAGTCAGGGGAGATTTAGGCTGGGTATCAAGAAAAAGTTTTTCACCCAGAGGGTGGTTAAGCACTGGAACAGGTTCCCCAGAAAAGCAGACACAGCACTAAACCTGACATCCAAGAAGACAATGCTCTCAGGCACATGGTGCAACTCATGGGGCATCCTGCATAGTGCCAGGACCTGGACTCGGTGATCCTGATGGGTCCCTTCCAATTCAGCTTATCCTATTACTCAACTAGACCTAGATACAGCATTTCCCTATTGAAATATATTGCTTTTAAGCAGTGTCAAGAAACTATGTTAGAAACAACTTCAAAAGACTGTGCTGCTATAGACAATTTATTGCTGTTGATACAACAGGAAAACAAGAGACCCTGTCCAAATTTAGTGTCTCCAGTTTAGGATATTCACCTGACACACTAGGTTTACCAGATCCTGCAGTCAGTTAATGATTACTGGCCTCACACAGGTAGCTTTCCTATACTAGCAGAGGTTTTGAATGGTCCCACAAACTGTTTACACTCTGCTGCTCTGGACAGGCAGCCTGATTGCACCACACACACTCACAGCTTAAATAGATGCAGGGAGCTCTTTAACTACGGTAAGATAAGAAGCCACTCAGCAAGAAAAGAGACAGTGAGAACACTGGGTAAGGAACAAAAAGCCTGTAACAGTGGCAGATCCTGCAATATTCAAGACTGAGGCAGAAATTAGAACAGGACAGACTGCCAAAGAGCTAACAACACAGCAAAAAGAGGTTTCCCTACCTTTTCCTCAATCAGCAAAGGCAGAGAGAGAATCTGTTTCCAAAGAATTTGACAAAGACTAAGCAAGCCCTTTCTAGCATATTTCAGAAGAACAGACTGGATCGGTCACCTGCAATTTACGACAGACACAGGATACAAATGCCTTCTCCAGAAGCAGTTAGTCAGCACTCTTGCTCATGCATATTTTTCAGTTCTACCAGAAAACAAAACAAAACAGTACTAGTTCCTCTACCAGTCGTTCGAGCCCTGAAGATACTTTCTCCTTTAAACAGCAGTCTATCCACTTGTGGAGGCAACACAGCACAGTTTATTGTTACTAGGGCAGGTATAATTTTCCTCAGTGAATCAGTTCTAGCAGTGTCTAGAGAATGATCAAAATCATGTATGTTAATGTATTATCAGCCTGTAATACTATCCCTGAAGCTGAGTGATACAGTTTCAGCAGGACACAGAATGCAGCACTGAGAATCACACAGACCAAAGATAAGAGGACAGTTCGACTCATTTTGCTGGCTTAGCCATCACTGGGGGGAAAGGGGAAGAAAAAAAGCAAAGCTCATAGTTCATTTTCACCCCCTCCCACACAGTATTGCTTTAGCCATGTCTCAGATGAGAAACATGCTCCTATCATTGCCCTGTATCGTTTGTCAACATCCCACCTACTTAGCAGGTACAAATACCAACGCATTTTCAACGCATTAACAACCTGCTGTTTCCATTTGATATTGACGAGAAGGAAGAAAAGAATGTTTGGGAAAGAAACCAAGACGCTGATTCAAATAAACGACTCTTGCATCCAGCAAGGCCTATTATGTACATGAGCAGAATCTTAAACAGGTCAAAATACACTGAAAGTTCAACTGCTACATAAAATTACTTGCATAGTTTTTCTACCACTGAATAGTTGTAAGGTTAAAATCACTGATTTGTTTGTACTCTTAAAGCAAACACTAGCAATAGAGTAACATGCACAGTAACATGGTCTGCCTGCTTCACTGGTTTACTCCTCAAAGGCCTTGCTGTTCAGGCCAAGCCTCCAATTTCAAATACACTTTGTAAGCCTGCAGCACGCAATGACGCAGAATAATTACTGTCTGGCTACTAATCACAGAAGGATCACTCACGTGAAAGTGTTTCTACAATTGGGGCTGGAAAGTGCATCTGCATGCAGTTACTCATCAGACAAATGATAAAGAACATACAGCTTCAGCTAATAAGCTAAACGACATGCCTAAATAAAGCTGGCAGCAAGGAGACTTAACAGAACCTTTTATACTGTTGTAAATACTGTTTTAAGCAATAGGATTTGCTCTGTAATGGAGATGAGAAGCCACCAACAGAAGTTTGAGTAACAAGTTTAGAGTATGGAAACAAATCAATGCATGGGCACTCAAGTGGTGTGCACTTGCAGCTGTACTTTGTACACGTATACTCCTGTGCAGACAGGATTTTATTTGGTCCCATGACCCATCATGAAGAGCTCTAAAATCCCCACCCACCAGTTTTGAGGCACCAATCCAGGCCATCAGCACTGAGGGAGAAATGTAATAGTTTAGTTTGGAGTTATTAGCCTTAAGATACTAATAGCATGTTCATCTATATGGATTGTGCTGCCTCTATGCAAATCTACTAGCCACTTAAAAGAGAAAACATCTTTCATTCAGCCATGCTGCCATCATTACCTTATTCCATTAATCAGCTGATACAGGCACACTGCCTTTCATGGCCCCTATTTAAGCCTTGTGTCCTTGAAAGTCTTGCATGGCAGTCTCCACAGTCACTGGTACATCATGACACAACACCACAGGACATTATTTAGTATCTCCTCTGCAGCTGAGATGTGACTGCAAGGCACTTCTGTTGAACTCATTAGGACTACCACAGCAGTACTTGACCGCTAACTGAATCTTATCCTTTAAGAAGGTATACAAAATAGCATTAAGATGCTCTGCTTTTATCTGCTTCTATGCGACCTATGCCAGAGTGATTCTGTCACATTACTAGAGGGTCTATCTTCACACAGGGGTTGTTTCCAACACAGAGAACACAGGTTACCATTCTGCCTGCATGCCTGCTTAATGGAGTTTTGCAGAATACTTCAACACAAAAGGCCAACTAACTACCTACCTGCTAGGATAAAGTCCAAGCAAAAAAAAAAGCTTCTTTTCTCCAAGTGACCTATGAAGATCCACAGTGCCATTCCTGACTACAAGGCAGCACTACTTGTAAGACCCACTTGCTTTTGCTTTAGTTTCTTCTGCTGAATTCTCTAGCTATGTAGGCAGCCCAGAACAATAACAATATATACTAAGCAGAATATGAGTGGGTTACACTCATATACCGCTAAAAAAGCAGGAGAAGCAGCACTATGCTTGGCCAACCTAACATTAAGGCTCTGAGGCAGCAGCCACAGGTTGTACAGGAAGTTTTCTCCCCATGACAAACAGTAAGGCTGGCAAAAAGCACAACATTGCCTAGTATTTCAATAGATCTTCCTCTAGCAACGAAAATCAGATTTCTGTAGGAGAGGCTGATACGTGTTCAGGAAGATTTCTTACATGTCCCAGCACGCACACGTTATGATGTGATGCTTGCAGAGAAGGCGGGCAAAATGCACCAAACTGCACAAACAGACAGAACCTGTCCACAAACCCACACAACACACTGTACTGACAGGAGCTGCTCCAAGAAGAAAGAGTGGCTGTACTAGAAGCATGAGTGATGTTATCTAAAAGCAGTTGTTTCAGTCTTTGGGTAAAGGGTTATGGAAGTTAGAAGCTGGTCATGCTTCTATGACACAGCTGTGAAATCAGCACCTCTCTAAAATCAAGATATTATTTGTTTAATAGCAATTAACACATGTGCAATAACTCATCTATTCAGCACCACTATTTAAACTAATCCTCGTTCTTGGGCTGTTTTCCGCACATATTTCATTTCTGTTACACCAAAGACTTGCTTTCAGCCCAGGCGCTCTGAATAAGCTTACCCACAGCTCGTGCGAGATCTCACCCGGATCAGCAGGCAGGCACAGTCCCAAGCAGTGACAACTTCAGCAGGACCGCCGGAGTTCCCTACGCCCGCCTGGAATCGAGCGGCTCGTTCCGGTCCCGGTAATTAAACACTTTTTAAGGCGAGCCGGGCGCGTCGCAGCAGCTGCGCTCCTTGCCTGCGGGGAAAGGTGCGCTCAGACCTGCGGGCACCGGCTAGCGCCGCGCCTGTTCCAGGGAGGGGAACAGCGCGAAGAGGAGGAGGAAGGAACACCCACGCACAGCAGCAAGCCAGGACACCGCTTCCCAAGGGCGAGACCACCCCGGCCCTCGCCTCCAAGGCCGCCTCTGCTTCGTGCCTCGAGCCGAACCCGGCTTGGGGCCGTCCCCTCAGCCCGCACAACGGACTCCTGAGGGAAGGGGCAAACAGCGACACCCCCGCCCCCGAACACGCCCCCGGCGGCTGCGGTGGAGAGGCGGCCACGGCAGCAACAAAGCCAACGCCGCTGCGGGAGAGCGGCGCATCCCCCGGCGGCCCCGCGTCCCCGCCGCGGAAGGAAACCCGCCCCGGGCGGGCGGGCTGGCCCACGGCCGGCCTCGCCTCGCCTCGCCCCGCGAGCTGCCGCCGCCGCCCCGCGCCGTGCCGTGCTACGCGCACCGGGCGCGGTTACATGTGACCGGCAGCGGCGCCCCGGCAGCTCCCCCCGCC